TTGTACGTCAGGTGTGGAGTGCGTGCTGTGTTGTACGTCAGGTGTGGAGTGCGTGCTGTGTTGTACGTCAGGTGTGGAGTGCGTGCTGTGTTGTATGTCAGGTGCTGTTTTGTCCTCAGACAGGTGATCAACGTGAAGATCCTCATACCTTTTCTGTCTCTCTGTGTCTTTCCGTGTGTGTCTGTCTGTCTGTCTGTCTCTGTGTCTATCTCTCGGTCTCTCTCTGTGTCTCTCCGTGTGTGTGTGTGTGTGTGTGTGTGTATGTGTGTGTGTGTGTGTCTGTCTCTCCCTGTGTCTGTGTGTCTGTCTGTCTCTGTGTCTATCTCTCGGTCTCTCTCTGTGTCTGTCCGTGTGTGTGTGTGTGTCTGTCTGTCTCTGTGTGTGTCTCTGTGTCTATCTCTCGGTCTCTCTCTCTCTGTCTCTCACTGTGTTCCCTGTGTGTGTGTGTGTCTGTCTGTCTCTCTCTCTCTCTGACTCTGTGTGTGTCTCTCTGTGTCTCTGTCTCTATCTCTCTCTACTTCTCTTTCTCTCTGTGTGTGTGTGTGTGTGTGTGTGTGTGTGTCTCTGTCTCCCTCTCAGGTGACTACGCCCAGCTCAGCCTCCGGATCCTCTACCTGGAAGCAGGCATGTACGAAGTGCCCATTGTGGTCACGGACTCTGGGAACCCCCCACTGTCCAACACATCAGTAATCAAGGTCAAGGTGTGCCCATGCGATGAGAACGGTGACTGCACGACAGTGGGCGCAGTGGCGGCGGCCGGCCTGGGCACGGGGGCCATCGCAGCCATCCTCATCTGCATTGTCATCCTGCTGAGTGAGTGCGCAGGGGTGTGGCCAGGGGGGCGGGGGACGTGGGGGTCTGGGGCCTGGGCCACAGTTGGCCCCTGTAGTGAGGACCTCACAGGAAACCCCTGACTTAACAGCACAGCGTGCACGGGGCGCTCCTCCTCATCTGCTGAGTGCAGGTCCGGCTCGATCCAGCCACACAGGTGCCTCTACAGGCCTGGTCCTGCCTGCCCCACACCTGCATCTTCCAGAGCCGTGTCGGAGGCCGGCTCCCTCCACACCCATGGCCACCACAGCGGTGGACAGACTGCCCCACCAGTCCCCAGGATGATGAGACCGGCCTCAGTCACATGTACCCCTGCACCCACTCACCAGTCAGGAAGTAGCCAGTGCCCATTGGCTCAGCCAGGTGACATGCCCATGGGGAGTATGATGGGGTGCTGGAGAAAGGACCCACAGTCTAGCCTATTCTAGCCACAAGCCAGACAGGGGGAAGGGACACAGGGCAGAGGCTCCAAGGGCATTTTCCAATGTCTCAGCCTCCTTTTGGGGTCTCTGCCGGGACACCCCCTCTTCCCCAGCCCTCCCCTCCTGCTAAGTGGAGGTGACCGCTGGAAGACTAGTGGACGGGAGTCTGCTGCGCAGGCCACTGCCTCCCTGGGGGGTCGGGGGGAGACAGATGATAGACACTGACGGGCAAACAGATGGACGATGGATGACCAACAGACACGTGTCTCACACAATCCACAGTGGGGGGAAGAGAGGAGAGGCTAGGGCCTGTGCAGCCGTGCCGTCCAAGCGCGCGCACACACACACACACGTGCACACATGCACTGCAGAGATGCTTGCACACATGTGTGCATGGTCTCACGAGCACACAAGCATACATCATGTGTGTGTGTGCACATGCGTGTCTGTTCACATGTGCATGTGCACACACCGGCGTGCAAGCCTTGCCCAAGCACAGGGGCGTGCACACACGTACGTGTGCGGTCTCACGGTGTGTGCACACGCTGTCACTCATGGCGCCGCCTCCCCACAGCCATGGTCCTGCTCTTTGTGGTGTGGATGAAGCGGCGGGAGAAGGAACGTCACACGAAGCAGCTGCTCATTGACCCCGAGGACGACGTGCGTGACAACATCCTCAAGTACGACGAGGAGGGGGGCGGCGAGGAGGACCAGGTGAGCGGCCAGCTGACGTCCACCGCAGGGCACTCCCCACACACTGTGCTCTCACTGCACGCCAGGGGCCCACCCTGGACACCTCCACATGCTGCACGCAGTCACCCAGCCTGCACCCCCTCACTGGCCCTGCACGTGGTCACCCACACCAGTGATCACCCTGTGCCCAGTCACCTATCCCATGCCTGGTCCCCCCTCACATCTGTTCACCAGATTCCACATTCAATCACCCACACTACAAATGGTCACCCGCCCCACACACGGTGACCCGCTCCACAGTCACCCACCCCTCAGTCACCCGCCCCACACACGGTCACCCACGCTACACAGAGTCACTTACCCCACAAAATGTCACCAGACCTCTGCACGTGGTCACTCACGCTGCACGCAGTCACTCACCCTACACGTGGTCACTCACCCTGCATGTGGTCACTCACGCTGCATGTGGTCACTCACCCTACACGCGGTCACTCACCCTGCATGTGGTCACTCACGCTGCACGCGGTCACTCACCCTGCACGTGGTCACTCATCCTGCATGAGGTCACTCACGCTGCACGCGGTCACTCACCCTGCACGCGGTCACTCATCCTGCACGAGGTCACTCACGCTGCACGCGGTCACTCATCCTGCACGAGGTCACTCACGCTGCACGCGGTCACTCATCCTGCACGAGGTCACTCACGCTGCACGCTGTCACTCACGCTGCACGTGGTCACTCACGCTGCACGTGGTCACTCAATGCTGCACGCGGTCACTCACGCTGCACGCGGTCACTCAACGCTGCACGCACTCACGCCGCATGTGGTCACTCACCCTGCACGTGGTCACTCACACTGCACGTGGTCACTCACCCTGCATGCGGTCACACAGTCACCACTTTATGCTCAGTCAGCCCACACACACCCAGTGACCAGCTCCTGCCCAGACCGTCCACCCTACAGGGGGTACAGCTCTCAAGGTCACATGGTGACCCGTCCTGCCCACCCCATCTCTGACAGTGCCCAGGGCTCACTCTGGGTTTGAACTCACGCTTGGCTCTCCTACTCCCTGTGACTGTCCATCAGCACTCCAGGAAGGCGGGCCTGGACTCCTTGTGTCCCCGCCCTTCTGAGGCCTCTCTGCATGCCCACCCCCAGGACTATGACCTCAGCCAACTCCAGCAGCCGGAAACCATGGAGCATGTGCTCAGCAAGACCCCTGGAGTCCGGCGAGTGGACGAGAGACCAGTGGGTGCCGAGCCCCAGTACCCAGCCAGGCCCGTGGTGCCTCACCCAGGGGACATCGGTGACTTCATCAGTGAGGTGGGTGTCCAAGGGAGTCCTGAGCAGCCGCACTGACCACTGGACTGTGCTGACCCACCAAACCAACCTCAGTCCCTAGCAAGGTCCCCACATCCCACTCTACATCACCCAGTGAGCGGGAACTGCGGACCCTCTGGGTGGGTGCAAGGTCCCAGAACCCCCTCTTGTTCTCCTGGGTCTGAAATGTCACTATTTCTGAGGCCTCACGGCTCTCCACTAGCTGGACAGTCCACCTCCACCACGACCTGGCGCAGCATACTGGGCCCACAGCAGAACACACCGCCCCGAAGAGAGACTTGGACCTTTGACAGGCAGCCTGTGGGGTGGGGTGCAAAACAAAACTCATCCCCATAAAGACTCTGGGTCCCCGCAGGCCACCACTGGCCAGCTCAGAGGCTAGCGTAGACTGTCCCCCCACCTCTTGCTTCTCTGTCCCTCAGCCTTGGGTGCACACAGTGTGTGCCCAGTGGCAGGAGCAGCGATGGCAGAGAGTGACTGCATGGAGTGGACACAGGATGAAAGATCACCAAGGAAATCTCCCAGGTCTCCAGCCCATAGTGCCCCAGCAGAGAAACTGAGGCCTGAGTCAGCACAGCAGGGGCGAGCCCTGTCCCAGGCCCCAACCTGCCTCCTGCAGCCCTGCCCGCGGGCAGCGTCTCTCCTTAGCAGGACCTGGCCACATGTCCCAGTCCCACAGGGCTCCACAGGTGACAGTATGGCCCTCCCTCTCTAAACATGACAGCTCCTGAGTCCTCTGGCAGGATGACAGGTGCGTGCAGGACTCCACACATCCCCACATGACATTCAGGAGAGTATTTTAGTTACAACCTGATTTCTGACTCCTGCCTACCTTGGGTCCACATTTGCAGTGACAGCAGTCCGCCCCTGCCCAGCCCTGACCACAGGCCCTCCCAGCCCACTGGCCTCCGCGGTGTTTTCACACTGGCATCTCCGGCATTCTTTAGCCATTCAGAGGCCAGCCCTTCCGCTCCCAGGTCTCAGAAATGCCTTCTGTCCTGGTCCACACAGACCCCTGCCATCTGGTCACTCCTGACAGAGACCTGAGGACAGAGCGGCCCTGTGGGGCTTCCAAGGCGGTCAGTCTTTACCAGTGATGGCCTCATCCTTCTCTCAAGGTGCAGCTGGTGGATTTGAGCTGCCAGCCTTTCAATTCTCAGCCCGCTGCTTAATCCACTAGCACCAGGGCCCAACAGCACGCCTTGAGCACCTCCTGCATGCAGATCCTGGACCATCACCTTCTCAGTCTGGCCCCTTGTGCCCGTCAGATTCCTGCATGCTGTGGTTCACAGAGATGCACCAGGGTCTGCACCCCCTTTCTGCCCATCAGGACCCCTCATACCCTGTCTCTCTGCACCAGGGTCTCCGGGCTGCAGACAATGACCCCACAGCACCCCCCTACGACTCGCTGCTGGTCTTCGACTACGAGGGCAGCGGCTCCACCGCAGGCTCGGTCAGCTCCCTGAACTCGTCCAGCTCTGGGGACCAGGACTACGACTACCTGAACGACTGGGGACCCAGGTTCAAGAAGCTGGCGGACATGTACGGGGGCGGCGAGGAGGACTAGAGGCCTGGAGGATGCGCTGGACGCCGGTGGCGTGGTCCCTCCATGGACTGTGCGCTCGCAAGGCGGCCCCACCCTCGTCGAGCGTCCAGCCGGGCATGGGCCTCAGAGTGACCGCGACTGATGACCAACGGGAGGAGAGCGAGGGGCACTCTCTTCACTTGAATCTCCTATAACAGAAGCACTGCTTTTCCAATTGAAAGTGCCTTTTGGTGCACGTGTCCGACCCCCTCAAACTCAGGAGTGACCGAAATGGGCAGGCCCAGCTCCCGCCACCCCGTGCCCCGCCCCAAGCGGCACCCCAGCCCCGAGCAGCACCTGGCTACAAGTGGCATCCCAGTTCTTGAGCAGCACCCCATATCTGAGTGGCACCCTGCCCCAAGCAGCACCCCTGGCCCAGAGTGGTGCCCTGTCACTGAGCAGCGCCCCGACCAGCTGCCCCCACTCGGAAGCATGGATTAGGAAAGCAGGGAGAATGTTGTGTTGGGCACGCCCCCTCTTCTAGTCTTTTAGTGAGAAAGCAGCGGGTAACTCACCCACATTCCCCGAGAAAGTCTAGCCATGTAGTCGAGGCCTGGTGGGGACAGTGTGGCCCTTCTGGTGTCCAGCCAGTAGCTCCCAGGCCATGCCCTGTCCTGGGCACCTGGAGTGAGAGGTGTCCATGGCTAGTTTGGGTGGGGGAGCTTAGCAGCAAAGGAACCCCAGGTTCAGGCGAGCACAGTGACTGAGGATCCTGCGGTGAACGAGGACCCAGTGCTGACCAGTAACCGTGGGGGTGGCTCCTTAACTGAAGGTGCTCCTGGGCAGGTGGGCATGGCACCTGGGCAGGTGGGCACAGCAAGCTTGTGCTGGAAGCTCCTGGCCCCCACATTTCTAGGGTTCTGTCAGCCAACTTAAAGCCGCTGAGACTGTCACCAGAAGGCCACCTTGACACTCAGCTTCCTGGTTCAGAGAAGCAGACTGTGCCCTACAACCCTTAGCCCACCCCGGCTAGGATCCTGCCAGCCTCTTGAGAGTCCCCCCACCTCCCAGACTCACGTGGGACCCCATCTGATTAAACATACGCACACCCTGAATCCTCTGAGGCCACAGCTCCATGTGGGGACTCTTCATCACATGCACTCAGCACTGCCCACCCTTTGTCCCCCAAATCTGAGTGGTGGGATGGCTTAGGATGTCTGGACCCCCAGGGCTGTCCTTCCTGCATGTGGGGATGGTGTCACTATGTGGGAGCATGGCTCCCAGTGTAGGTGGGTTCTTTGGGGCAGGGATGCGGGGAGGTCCCTGGAGGTCCTGCTCCTTTACATGGGAAGGGACGACATCCAGGGGTCTGGGAGCTGTTGGCCAGACCACAGCATGAGGGCAGCAGGCCCACATGGGGGCCTTGTGTGGGTCTGCCCTCTGCATGGACCTCACCCAGGACAGTGACAGCAGGGACTCCAGGGAAGGGTGGGGGTGACAGGCCACAGCTGGTCACCTGCAGAAGGAGCCGCACAAGCAGCTCTCACAGTGCCCTCTCCTCAGCCTTGGGCCTCCCCTGCACGCTGTCCCCATCCTCTAGTCACCCCCAACTGTCCCCGTCCTTCCCCAATACTGGCCCTACCGTCCCTCTACACTGCCTCCTTCCTCCCACTCACACTGCCCCCTTCCTCCCATCCACTGTCCACTCTCCCCCCTACACTGCCCTCAACCTTCCCCCCAACCGTCTGCATTCCCCTTCTGTCCTCACCCTCCAGCCTCTCCCACCCTGATGTCCCCTCCTAGCCCCTCATTCGCCATCCTCTGCTCTCCCTGACCCTGTGTGGCTCCATATTCCAGCTTCCAAACCCTGCCAGCTTGGCCCATTATCAGGCCACCCCCTCCACCCCGAGAACTCCCCTCATTGGCTGCTTCCTTGATCTTTAGCCACTCCCACCACCGGACGTCTAAATAAAGTTGATGGTACCTGCTCGGCATGTGGCCTGAGCCGTGGTCAGATTGGAAAGGTGTGCGGAGGATGAGGTGGCCAGTATAGGGTAGTGGCCTGGGGTTCACCACCCTGAGCCCAGGGGTTCACACAGAAGGCCACTCTGCTGGAGCCCCGGCCATCTGTGGAGGCAAGGAGGGGAAGAGGCCGGTCCCAGCCATGCTATGCAAGCCAGGCAGCTGGTGCCAATGCCTAGGGGCCGTCTGAGGACGGGGGTCCATCTGTTCTGAGAAGTCATCCTTCAAGGGAGTGTTGAGCATGAGGACACGGTGTGACTGTGACCTGGGACGGGGACAGGGACTCTCTGCTGGATAGTCACACCCTGCTGGAGTCTGTAACCGACCCCAGACCCCCACCCGGCCCGTAGGGCCATCAGGAGAACCTCCTGCGTGTGCGCGCGCGCGCGCACACACACACACACACTTTGCACCCCACTCAGCCTGGCATCACTGGGTCATGCCCTTCCCTCTGAGCCCACCCACCCTGTCATGGCCAGGCCCTCTCCCTCTCACCAGGAATGCCGGGCTGCATGAAGCTGTGGTCACAGCCGGAGGGGCCCAAGGGGCCTCGTCATGTCCATCTTGGCCCTCCACTCTGCCCCTCCCCAGCACTCACTCCCCTCCGGGGTCATCTTGGGACTCAAGCCCAACAGCACAGCTTAGCCAGCAGTACAATTAGTGTCACACACACGCCTCCTGCTGCCTGTCCACTCGGCCTGCCCAGGGCTCAGGTCCAGCCAAGCAGACAGCAACGGCAGTGCCTGGGCACGGTCAATGCCCACGCAGGCTGAGGCCCCTTCCTCACATCCTTCCGCACCCCCACAGCGCCAGTACCCACCCCCAGAGCAGCAGAGTGGTGCCTCAGTTTTCCTGATGTGTGCACTGGCCAGACATGCAGTCTTGTGAAACAGCTCCCTCTTCCCCGAGATTAAAAACACAGGGGGTGGGTCTCCATTTCTGGAAAAATTCAAAGGAATAACACCAAAAAAGTCAAGTCAGAGCCCAGAAGCAGCCGCCGGGCCTCCCCCCACGCGAGCTCTCTGCTTCCTTGTCGTTTTGTTTGCATGTTTCCTTGAAAACGGACAGAATGTGTAGAACCGCATGACCGTGGTTGTGGGGAGGTCCCGGAGTGTGACGTCCACGCTGCCCGCCGCCAGGCTGGACAGGTGTTCCCAATTCTTTTGTAATCGTCAACAGCACAACTATTTTGTATTGTTGTTTGTATCATTTTGTACCAAAAACAAAAACAAAAAAAGGGAAGAGAGTTGATGTTTTCAGTGTTTCTAGTGCCGCGCAGCCTCGGTCCCCACGGGCAGCGGGTGCGCCAGGCGGCCGGGCGCTGGCGCGCTGCTCCGCGGAATAAATCAAGTCCCCTTTGAAATGGTCGCCTCCACCCGCTTGATTTTTCTCCCCGGATGGCAGGTGGGCGGTGTCCCCTGTGGGCTGGGAGGGAGGGCACTCTGAGGCCTCACACTGAGGGCAGAGCGAGGGCAGAGCGGCTGCTGGGACACGGGGAGGACACTGGCCACATCCCGGGGAGTGGACACAGAAGGACAGGATTTCACCTCCTCAAGGACCACAGCTGGAGGGACATGTGCCAGCCTAGTTCAGCTGGAGCCCTCAAACTACACACCCCAGGACCATTGCCCAGTTTAATCAGACATCCAAGACAACTGGAAACCGCACAGTGGGAAGCCAGGCACACCTTTCCCTTCAACTGGCAAACAGGTTCTGTCGCACTTGAGCGAGATCTTTGGTGGCAGATTCGCCCGATGAACCATGTTCTTTGGGTTCTCCATCTGTGGACACTGGTTGCAGAACCAAGTCCCCCTCTTCCTCAACAAGCTCAGTGTCTGCTCCACCCAGCTGGACGCTGTGGGTCCTCAGCACCTTCCTGTCCTCCAGAGTGGTTGTAGGGTCCCATTCAACAATCCCGACACAAAGGGCTTGACGATGAGGTGACACCTTCTCAAAGGGTGAACGTGATCACCCCCCATTCGAGTGGTTCTGCCCCCACTAATCTCACTCCCCTCTCTCCCTACTTTCCCATCTTTGTTTTAAAGTTCTGTTGACAATTTGCTCACACGTACATTCTTTGTCAAAGGCAAGCAGTACTTATGGGTGATTCTCAGTGGTTTTTTGCCAATTTCTTTAGCTACAAGGTAAGCCTGGATTTCAGTTTTGGTCCGAGGATTGAAGAGTAGCTCAGGGTTTAGGGAATCCTCTAGTCTTGGGCAGGCACGAGGTTCTGGGGTGTTCCGTTCCTCTTTCTTTTTAGGAATTTCAGGCTCTGTTTCACGTGTTACTCTCTATCCTGGGTCATCTACTGTGAGACGCTCATCAGAACGGCTGATGCCCAGCCGGCACCTCCAGCCCTTCCGCGCTCAGGGGGGTGGAGGTGTCCACTTTCTACCTGCCGATTCCAGACACGGGTCCTCGTGCTGCAGTGTGCTGCATTCGGGAAGGTCTCCGGAGGGGGGTGTGGGAGGCTGATGCGTGGAAATAACTGGACACTTCGGAGACCGCTTCCCAGCTGGCCTCTGAGGGGCTGAATCTAGGGCTAATCTGGCCCCCTGTGGAGCCTGTTATGACCCTTGGGGTCTCAGTCTGATGCCCACCTGGCAGGATCTTTGGTCTCTGTGCTGGCTGGTGGGATCTGAGCTGTCCCAGGCCCTGTGTGGGCTCTGGGGACAGCCAGCCCATGCTCTCCAGGGTCACCCTGCCCCATGTCCTCACATGCCTGGGGTGGTCAGTCACAGGTGGGGAGCCCTCTGCAGGTCCTGACAGTCTGTGATGTCTATCCCTGACCTCTAAGCTCTGTCTCTTCTGCTCACGTTCCCCCCACCCCAGTTGGATGTCTCAGAAGTGAGCAAAATCCTTCCTGGCTTTCCTCTGTGGGGGTCATCGTCCACACAGCTGCTGTCCAGGCTTTTAGCTGTTCTAGAAGGGATGTGACTCTGCTCCCCGTTCCCCTCCTGGTTAGCTGCAGAGCCCAGGCCACCTCACCTGTGTCTTGGGGGGGGCTTGTGCAGGATTAT